TCCTGGGATTCAAGAAACAGCCCGCCACTGGTAATGTATACGTTCCGGTTTCCGAGTACTCGCGTCCCTGAACCCATAACCCACAGTAAGTTAAACCATAGAGAAGGAGAAGTACTAGGAGGAGGAGGAGGAGGAGGAGGAGAAGGAGGAGGAGGAGGAGGAGGAGGACGAGGACGAGGAGGAGGAGGAGGAGTAGAAGGAGGGAGGAGGTGGAGGAGGGGGAGGAGGCGAAGGAGGAGGAGCAGGAGGAGGAGGAGGGAGGAGGACGGAGGAGGAGCAGGAGCAGGAGGAGGAGGAGGAGGAGATAAATCAGCAGCGATGCCTCACCGAGGCCACGCCCCTCCCCGGCGAGATGCGCGGCGCTCGCGCGCCCGAGGCCACGGCCCCTCGCAAATGGCCCACCGTTCGCGCCCCCGCGGCGACGACCATCCGTGAATGAAACGGTACACGTCGGGGATGGACAGACCCCCCTTTAGTAAAACGTGGTTTAGTGGAAACGACCTGAGGCCCAAACCTGGCGGGCGCAAGCCTGGAAAATAACGGCCACGGCGCCCTCTCGAGAACCGAAAACGGACAATCCACTAATCGACGTGTCACTGTTGGGGGTTCTGTCCAGCCCCGAACACGTCGGTCGGAAGAAGTAGGTAGAAACATGAAGTAGGACGGCGGATATAGTGGATTGGGTCCAGGCCCTCCCAGAGAACAACAGAACACGGCAAAAGCGCGCCGATTCTTGAAGTGGGAAGGCGCTGGAAGTGGATTGGGACGTGGGAGTCAAAAAAAATACATGCTTTCAACGACCGGCGTGTATTCGCGCCCCCAAAGCGTTAAGTCGGGCGTGTCCCCCTACAGGGGGATTTTCGACGAGGAATCAAAAATACCCCCAAGAAGCTCCGAAATGGCCAAACAATACCACGAAGAAATAGTCTCCAGACTATTGTTTTACTATTTTCGAATTTTCCTCCTGTAGAGGGACAAGCCCGACGTAACCGACGCCACGATCATTCGTAGATTCACCACATTCGCGTCCTCGAAGCCCTACGCCTCCGTCGATTCCGCCATAGCTGCCTCCCCGAAGCAGCGATCACCAAGAGATTGCACAACGCTCGCGTCCCCGAAGCCACGGTCCATACACTGTCTGCGTCCCCAGATCCGCGGTCCCCCCGAACATTGTACAAGAGTCGCGTCCCGGAGGCCACGATGCTCCGTAGCGTACGGCATGCTTCGCATCCTCGAAACGATCATCCTGTGTAAAATACGCAGTGCTCGCATCCTCGAGGCCATGCACCCTTGTGAGTTACGCAATGGTCCCGTCCTCGAGGCCATAGGCCATCATACATTATGCAGTACTTGCGTCACCGGGGCCGCAATCCCTAATAAATTACGCAACTCTCGCGTCTCCGCAAGCCGCGCCGTGAAAAACAATGATCATGATCATGATCATGTTCATGATCATCATCATCATCAGCATCAGCATCATCATCAGCATCATGATCATCATCAGCAGCAACATCATCATCATCATCATCATCATCATTTTCATCATCACCATCACAATCACCATCATCATCACCATCATCATCAGCATCCTCATCCTCATCATCATCATCACCATCATCATCCTCATCATCATCATCATCACCAGCGCCCGCAGCAGCATTGTGAGCAATACCTCCAGTACCATCGCCATCGGCGTCAACATCAGCATCCTCAATATCACCATCGGCATCAACATCATAATGTCTTCAAGACTGCGCCAAGACACCCTGATATAGCTTTAATGTGTCCCGTTCCGTTAGAAAGGGGCCTGTGGCAGGGGGCGAAGCCTTCACGGACACATATCTATATATGTACATATTTACACACAAGACTGCAGTGGCGCTTGGCGCCATGCACCTTGATCCTTGAACTTTGGCATGCAGGCGGAATAGCAGGAAAGCCAAGCCGACAATTTAGCGATAACTCCTTGTTGCCTTTTCCGGCATCGCCGCTATACTAATGTTATTCGTTATCCTTCCTCCCTGCTTCTTTTTCCTCATTTTCGCCATACCCTGCGCATTCTCCCCATCCTCCTCAGCTCTTTTTTGCGGAGGCTCCTCCTCGGAGAGCCTCTGGGGGCCTCACAAAAGTTGTTTCAAGCTTTCTTAAGGCCTTCTGGAGGCCTCCTGGGCGTATTCTTGGGGCCTCTAGGGGCTTCCTCGGGCCACCCTGCCTTCAACCGCGGTCTCCCTGAACGATTGGGTCACGATTTGGAATGCTTCGGAGGGTGTCTTTGGGCCATCTTGGGCCGCCATGGGGCTTTCTGAGGGCCATCTTGGACCCGTGTTGTGCCGTTTTGGGGCTCGTTTGGACTGCCTGGAAGCCCTTTCGGATGGTTGTGGTGCGATTTTGGTGCCTCCCAGGCGGCTTCGGCCGCCCAGAAGACCGCCGTCTTGGAGCGTCGGGAAGCCGAAAAGAGGAGAACCCCCAAATTCACCAAAAACCAGAAGAGCATCAATGATTTGTGCCTCTTGAGGCCTTCTTGGGAGTGCTCTTGGAGGCCTCTTTGGGCCCGTCCTGGAGGACTCTGGGCCATCTTGAGGTCACGTCGGTCACTCTTGGAGCGCTTTTGGCTGTCGTGGGGGTCTCTGGGACGTCTCCGATGACCCCCCTGATCGCCCTAGGTGTACTGGGAAGGCATGACAAAACTCCCTGCGAAGCCCGGGGGGCCGCTTCGAGGCCCGTCCGGAGGGTCCCAAAGCCCCAGATCCCGGGAGTCCAGTTTTTTTTTAGGGGGTCCCCCCGCCAGGGCTTGTACAAATCAAGGAAGAGGAATAGATACACACCTATATATATATATATATATATATATATATATATATATAGACATACATATATATATATATACATATACACACAAGACTGCAGTGGCGCTTCGCGCCATGCACCTTGGTCCTTGAAATTTGGTACACAGGCGGAATAGCAGGAAAGCCAAGCCGACAATTTAGCGATAATTCCTTGTTGCCTTTTCCGGCATCGCCGCTATAATAATGTTATTCGTTATCCTCCCTCCATGCTTCTTTTTCCTCATTTTCGCCATACCCTGCGCATTCTCCCCATCCTCCTCAGCTCTTTTTTGCGGAGGCTCCTCCTCGGAGAGCCTCTGGGGGCCTCACAAAAGTTGTTTCAGGCTTTCTTAAGGCCTTCTGGAGGCCTCCTGGGCGTATTCTGGGGGCCTCTGGGGACTTCCTCGAGCCACCCTGCCTCCAACCGTGGTCTCCCTGAACGACCGGGTCGCGATTTGGAATGCTTCAGAATGTGTGTCTTGGGGCCATCTTGGGCCGCCATGGGGCTCTCTGAGGGCCATCTTGGACCCGTGTTGTGCCGCTTTGGGGCTCTCTTGGACTGCCTGGAAGCCCTTTCGGATGGTTGTGGGGCGATGTTGGAGCCTCCCTGGCGGCTTCGGACGCCCAGAAGACCGCCGTCTGGGAGCGTTGGGAAGCCGAAAAGAGGAGAACCCCAAAATTCAGCAAAAAACAACAACAAATTAAAGATTTGTGCCTCTTGGGGCCTTCTTGGGAGTGCTCTTGGAGGCCTCTTTGGGACCGTCCTGGAGGCCTTTGGGGCCATCTTGAGGTCACGTCGGTCACTTTTGGAGCGCTCTTGTGCTGTCTTGGGGGTCTCTGGGACGTCTCCGATGACCCCCCTGATCGCCCTAGGTGTGCTGGGAAGGCTTGGTAAAACGGTTTGGGGGGGGGGGGGGCGGGTTTTCCCACCGCCCGGGCTTGCAAAAATATAGGAAGAGGAATATATACATATATATGTGTGTAGACATATATATGTATATATAATATATACATATATACATACATATATACACATATATATACTCATATTATATTTATATGTGGCTTGATTCTCTGACAGTCGACCGACTGATCCAGGGGGCCCAAAATGCTTACAGGAAGCTTTTCGGAAGCAGTTTCGACCCCACTTGGGAGCGGTGCTGGTCTCTCTTGGAGCCTTTTTGGGGCCTCTTGGGGAGCTGGGGCCTGTTGGGGGGCTCGGTGGGGGTCCTTGGTGCTTGTCGGGAGCCGTTCTGGGGCCCCCTTGGGCAGTCTTGGGCGCCTCTTGGGCCGATATGGGGGCCGTCGTGGGGGCCTCTTGAATGCCTCTTGGGCCGTCTTGGGGAGATCTGGGGGGCGTCTTGGTCCGTCTTGGAGCGTCGGGAAGGCGAGAAGGTGTTGTTGCTGAATTGTACGTTTTACAATGGACTTGGGCGATGTTGGCCTCTTGGAGCTCCCTTGGCAGGCCCCTTGGGGTGTCTTGGGGCGAAAAGGTGGCCTCTGGGACTGTGTTGTGGCCATCGTGGGCGTCTTGTCGCCCTTTTGGCCCAGCTTGGAGTTCTCTGGAAGCCATCAGGAGCCGTCTTGGGCCCTCCAGGCGCGCTCGGGACCCAGCGGCCCCCAGCGGGACGAAGGTCTAGCCGGATCAGTAATATGTATCTCTCTATAGATATATATGTAAATATAAATGTACTTATTGTATCAGTACAGCTACATATGTATAGAGAAAGGGCAGGTGAAAGAAAAGATGTAGAGAGGGACAGGTAGACATACAGAGAGATGGAGAGAAACCAACTGAGCCAACCGAGAAAGAGAGAGAGAGAGAGAAAACAAAGGGTCAGGCAGAGAAAGAGAAAGGGATGGGCGTAGCTACATGTATATCTGATACATATCAATACGGAGGGGGAATGATACCCACATCTGTATGCTTATGTGTCGCTATATGCGCAGATGTGTACACATGCAAACATGTGTCGATGCATTACATGACGTAGAGAAAAGTACATGTATTGCTACAGCAATATACATACGCAGGTGTGTTAGATTTAAGGAGCTGGAGTGAGACTGCGGGAGGGGGAACTTGTATATAGCATGAATCTTCTGCCGGCAGAGAAAACAAAGAGAGCGAGAGAGAGTGTGAGAGGAAGAGAGGTGACAGAGAGCTCGCGGCCCTGCCTTCTCGTTCGCCCACTCAACCTCTTCGGAAGACGTGCAGGAGGCACTGCGCGCGGGCAGCAGAGGTGCAAGCGGGAGCCGGCGCGACCATCCTCCTGCCCTGTCCTTTCGTTTTCCTCCTCCTCCTCTTCCCCCCCTCGCCTCCTGCCTCCTCGTTTCACCCCTCGCTTCTGTTCGTTTTCATTCTCCTCCACCTCGTTCTCGCCCTCCGTCCTCCGTCCCCCTCCTCCTCCTCGGGGCCTCGGGGAGGCAGGGCAAGGCAGGCCCGCACCAGAGTAAAACAGGGCTAGGATCGGGATAAATCGCTCCAGAGCGTTCCGGAGCGCTCTCAGAACGTTCCGGAACGCTCTGGAGCGGCCGCGGCGCCAAATACATCCTCCAAACCCGCCGATTCTCAGAGATTTCGAGTTATCCCGATCCGATTTTGTCCCGATCCTCGCGTCGTTTTACAGAGGCGAGTACAAAGCCAGTCAGAGGCGGCGCTGATGGAGAGGGAGGGGGAAGACGAGAAGGGAGGCGGCAGCAGAAGGCTGGCCTGCAGCGGACGCCGAGGAACTGCAGCGAGCAGGCGACGCGCATGACGGGCGGCGAATGGCGCGGCTCCCTGGCCTCCCAGAAGCTCGAAACCATCCAAACGGGGGAGGAGGAGGGGGAGGAGGAGGAGGGGGAGGAGGAGGAGGAGGAGGAGGAGGAGGAGGAGGAGGAGAGGAGGGGGAGGAGGAGGGGGAGGGGGAGGAAGTGGAGCAGGGAGGAAAGGGGGGGGAGGGGAGCGCAACGGGATGGAGATGGTGGAGGAAGGGGGGGAGGAGGGGCGCAGGAGGGGGGAGGGGAAGGGTCCCCGGACACCCCCGCACGGCTGCGCCGAGGTGAAGGTGCTGGCCTCCACTCTAGGAAGCCCTTGTGCCTTCTGTCTGGGACCTTCGCTGCCCTCGATTATTGTTTTTTGTTCATGGTCTTCGAGCATCTGGGCCTCCCACTCCTCCGTCCCCAACTGTAAAGGGGCTGGCTGCGGCGGGTCGTTCTTCGTCTCGTGGCGGCAGATGCGGCGCCCCCCCCCCTCCTTCCTCCACCTCCCCCTGAAGATGATTGCCAACGCGGGCAATGGCACAGTGGACGCATCGGAGAAGAAATCTTGCTATGGGAACATTTCGTGGCGCACGACGGTCCGACTATTCCACACAGTTGCACCACACTGGCACGGCGAATGCTGACTGACAAACCTCCTCCTCCTCCGCCTCCTCCTCCTCAACCACTCTTCCTTATTAAACCAGACCCCTCGCCGCACTGACAGGCATGTCGGTTCAGCATGGCGGAAGTTTCGCCTGACACGTTTTCATGTGAAGTACTGGAACTTGAGACTTCTGGCCGTCACGCGGACGGGTGGTCTATACTGTACGTTGCTTTCAGAATGTTGCTATCGCCATATCACCGCTCAAATTCTCGTAGTGCAATATTTGACCAGTTCCTCTGGAGGACGTGATGTGTTCTGCATGAAACGGATGCATGCGAGGACGGCCGGATGGATGCGAGTAGGTTTTCAATACGTGGGCGCACGACATTCTCAACACGAGGATACCTGGGACGCTTGCAACGATGTGCAGACGGAAGAGAGGAAATGGTCAGATCGTGGATCTTCTTCACGAGGCCGCTCACACTCGTCTCGAAGACGCCAACGCTGACACTGATGGAACGCACCCTTGTCAGAATGATTCCCTCTCTTGTGGATATCTGGACCTACCACCAGGTGGAGGGCTATTCCTTGGAAAACGGGGCTCGGGGGCTGCTTGCGGCCCCCTGACCTTCATAGTCCCCCTTCCCTTCGCCTCTGGCAACAAGAAGTCCACCTCGTATTGAACGGTCCATTGAGACCATTCAATACGACGCCGGCGACGTGACGATCTACTTGTGGGGCTGAATGGCGTAAACACGCGTTGAGCTAACACATGTCTTGAGAATCATCGACCCAAAGACGGAGGGAGGGGCCCTTTTCAACTCTGACTCCTTGCCTGCATGGTAGGCCCGCGAGCGCTCGTCTGTTCAATAGGGCACTCCCCGCAGCGAGACGGACTGCTTGCGCGGAGCTAAAGGAAGAACTTGGGACACCAGGACGAGAGCGTGTGTTCAGGGGAGCAAACACTGACATAAACATGAAAACTCGGACGTCCGCGAGGATTCCTCGGATCGGCGCTGGAACCCCCTTGGCGGCGCCTCAGGCGCCGCCCCTGGCGCGCGCGCGCCATGGAGGGGGGTCCGGCGCCGATCCGAAGACTCCGCGCGGACCTCCGAGCTCTTGTGTTTGTGTCATTGTTTGGTCCCCTTGTGATGCAGCATCGTTGCCGCGTCCTGGGTTTACTCCTCCTCCACCTTAAAACGACGCGAAGATCGGGACAAAATCGGATCGGGATAACTCGAAATCTCTGAGAGTCGGCGGGTTTGGAGGATGTACTGGGCGCCGCGGCCGCTCCAAAGCGTTCCGGAACGCTCTGAGAGCGCTCCGGAACGCTCTGGATCGATTTATCCCGATCCTAGCCCTGTTTTAACCACCCCCCCAAAACACCCAACGAGTTGTCATCTTATGGAGGGCCGACGGTTACTTCGACCGGCCTTCCACCGACCTTCCGCCGGCTTCCGCCAGCGGAGCCACCCTCGCTTCGCTGTCGCCGACTGCCACCGACCTTCCATCGCCTTCCGCCGAGGAAGAGCTGCATTCTTGGGGGCCTCTGGGGACCTTCGTCTTCTGCTGGCCACGCGGAGCCTGGCTTCCGCCCTGGTGGCGTAGCTTGGCTTCGACCAGGCATTCGGGCCTTCAACCTTCAGCCTATCGCTATCGCTATCGCTATCGGCTCGATGTCCAGTTGGACGCAGCCGTCCGCGCGGCCGAAGCTACGCGCGCGCGCCCGAGGCGCGGGGGGGGGGGGGTCACCCCCCGACACATGCTCCCGCCGGAGGGGCGGGGGCCGAAAAGGACCGAGAAAACGGGCCCAGGACCGAGAAAACGGCCTCCTCCTCCTCCTCCTTCGATCCTCGAGGGCGTCCTGCGTCTTCGTCGCGCCCCCGCACGCCGCGCTGGCCTCCCGCGGGGGCGAGCAGGCCGGAGACCCCGACGCCGTGGCGCGCGCTGCCGCGAGCCAGGCGCGCGGACGGCTGACCCTCCCGAACAGCTGGCAGGCACACGCAACGTCGTGAGACCTCCAACGTCAGGACGAGGGTTCCATTTTGGAGCCCCGACACGGTGCGGTGGCAGACCGTACGGCGGCCTCGAAATCCCGCAACCCTCACCGCACGGTCCGTCACCGCACGGTCTTGGGACCCTGGAGGCCCCTGTCGCCCAAGACGTCCTCGGAGAACGACCCGAGTCCCAAAACCGTGCGGTGACCTCGAATCCCCACCGACTCACCGCACGGTGTGGTCACCACCCCGTTTGGGGGCCCCCGATCCATGGCCGACAGGCGAACCTTGCGAGGCATCTCCCGGGAGGGTCTTCGTAAGAACGATCGAGGGCCGCGAGGCCCGACAAGGGGCCATGGAGCCAGATCTGCCTGGGTCGAGACCATTTTTCAGCCTGGCTGCGCCGGATGATAAGTGGAACTGAGCCGGAGTGTTCTGGATTGGGCATGCTCTCGATCACGGACACACCAGTGCCGATTCTAATGTCCGCTGTATCCTAATTACGGCGAGCCCCACGGGGTGTCGTCAGACCTCCGGCGACGACAGCAATCGAGACATCCGGGCTCATGACGACGGAGCTCGGGAGCTCCCAAACCCTCTCCTCGCACTGGACTTTCCACGCCGGGGTCGACCTGCGAGGGCCCGGAGGCCGGGACCGCGCCCCCATGGGGCCCCCAAGGCCGAGCACACGCCGTCGCCTCCTCCCGGACACTGGAGGCTGGTGCAAGAAAACCTTTGGAGGAACGACGTGCCTCGACCTGTCCTGCATGCGCGAGGCCTCTCCCATCCCGCGCCCCCCGCCCCATCCTCCACACCCCTGAATGCTGCTGCCTCTGCTCCTGCTCACCATCATCCTCATCCCCTCCCTCCCTCTCCTCCCTGGGATTCCCTTCCCATCCCTGCGAAGGTGCACCTTGCTGCTGATCCACCTTTCCTGATGATCTGAATTATCCTCCTCGTTCGTCTCCTCATACCGTACCCAATTGGTACTCCGTCTCATCCACTTTTAATCTTCGGCATGTGGGACAGGAGTCCTGGTAGGAACGGGTTCCGGGTTATGGACCCAGGGCCACCCCCAAGAACCTGATTTCATCCAGAATCATTATTTGGCGGTCCTGGGGACCAGGATGGGCTCGACGAGAACATGCACCCCTTTCGTCCAGGCCCATTTTCTTGATGGTGATCCTCATCGTCGTCGCCGTCCTCCTCCTCCTCGTCCTCCTCCTCCTCTTCCTCGCAAGTGTCCGTGTGTGTCTGTGTGCGTGTGCGTGTGCGTGTGCGTGTGCGTGTGCGTGTGCGTGTGTGCGTGTGTGTGTGTGTGTGTGTGTGTCCGTCCGTCCGTCCGTCCGTGCGTGTGTGTGTGTGTGTGCTTGCGTTTGTGTTTGTGTGTGCGTGTGTGTAGGTGTGTGTGTGCGTGTGCGTGTGCGTGTGTGTGCGTGTGCGTGTGTGTGTGTGTGTGTGGACCGGGTGGGGGACGAGAGGATTGAATGACTCGGTGTCGTCCTGACCACGGCCGGGAGGGAGGGAGTGGAGACAAGGGGCTGCCGAGCGCCACAGACTGCAACGCCGAGAGGGCAGAACACCACGCGCACCTTAATTGTGGGCCCGCGAGGCCCCAAGAACGCGCGAAGGCGGCCGCAGGCTCGCGGCGAGTCTCGCCGCGCGGCCCGCCGCCGCGGCTTGTTGCGCGGCGGCGCCCGGCGGACCCGCAGCTGGGTGCAGCGCAGTAGTCCGCCAGGGCGCTCCGCCTCCTGTCTCGGCCAAGGCCCGCCTCCTCCCCCTCCCCCCCCCTCTCCCCCCTCCCCCTCCCCCTCCCCCTCCCCCTCCTCCTCCTCCTCCTCTCCTCCTCCTCCTCCTCCTCCTCCTCCTCCTCCTCCTCCTCCTCCGCCTCCGCCTCCGCCTCCTCCTCCGCCTCCTCCTCCGCCTACTCCTCATCCTCCTCCTCCTGCGCTTGCTGGCTCCTGTTGGCTTTTCTGCGGTCCCCGGGGGAGAGCGAGCGCTGGGCTCGACCGCCAAACTCCTTTCAAGTGCGGCGGGGTCCCGTTGCCCAGAGCAGCGTGTACTTCAGGCGAGGCATGAGGCGCACAAGGTGACGCGTGGACCTCAGCAGGGAAAGCAGGGAGAGGGAGCCGGGCGGCAGGCAGGAGCGAGGAAGAGCAGAGGGCAAAGCGGACAGAGGCAGGAGGGCAGATACGCGAGGAGGCAGCAAAGCAGAAGGCAACGGAGACCCGACTCCAGCTTGCTGCTCGGAGTTTGCCCCCTGCTGCCGATGCGATACTGCGCCCCCTCCGCCACTTCCTCCTCGACGGTGCTGCCGCCCTCCTCCTCCCCGCCTCCTCCCCGACGCCGCCTCCTTTTCTTCTTCCTCCTCCTCCTCCGCCTCCTCCATTCCTATTCATTCTACATAACTCCCCCCTGTCGCACCCCGAGGCCAGTCGAAAGGGCGAGCTGGGCGTTTCTCTTGAGACTTCCTCACCAGACATAACCCTGAAGCTTAGACGTTGGCGACCGTCTCACAGACGGAGGGCGGGCCGCTTCTAAAATGTAGCTCTCGCCGATTGAAACACTTTCACGGATTGGGGCGGGTCATTTAAAACATGTGGCTCTCGCCCTAGCGCCGCGCACATCCGTCCTAAACATTTGAAACAAGGCTCAAGGATGGAGGGCGGTCCGTCTTCAAAATGTGGTTATTGCGTCAGCGCCGCGCACATTCGTCTTAACACAATGAAGGAGGTTCACATATTGAGGGCTGGATGCTTACTTTCAGAATGGGACTCTCGCCTTAGCGCCGCGCACGCTCGTTTTGTTTTGTTTGTGTTTTGTTTAAAAAGTTAAATGAGCTTCACGGATTGAGGGCGGGATGTTTCGAACATGTTGATCTCGTCTTAGTGGTGCGCACATTCGTTTTCAACATGTGCAAGAGTTTCACGTATTGAAGGCGGTTCCTTTCCAACATGCGGCTCTCGCCGTAGCGCCGCGCACATCGTGTAAACATGTGCAAGAGCTCCGAGGACTCCCATGGTCAACGTAGCAGACATGGGGTTTAAGGACTCAGGATTTCAAGGGCACGGCAATTACGTTGATTCGCGGTGTTGAAGTCCCAAGAATGGTGTTCTGACGCCAGTCAGGACCGTCACGACGCAACAATCAGGTTGATTCGTGGCGTTGGAGTCCCGAGAATGGTGTTTTCGTACGCTTCAGAGTCCTCAAACCGTTCTCCCATCGAGGCAGTTCCATCAGTGGAAATGAACCCTTGCATAGGCCTGTGAAGAGGGCGCTCGGAGGGAGTGTTTCTTCCAACCTCGTTGATGGGTCTTGCGTTTGCGCTGGTCCTCCTCCTCCTCCGCCTCCTCGTCTTCCTCAACCTCCCTCTCTCCCCCATCCTCCGCCACTCGCGCGCGACGACGTGCCCCTAAGCGAGCTTGGCTGAGACGCGAGGGCTCTAGACCGCCTGCCGAAGCAGCGCCAACGCGCGCCGACGCCTCCAGCGCCAACAACCTGGCGAGCTCCGGCCTGGCGAGGCATCTTGAGCAGGGACCGACCGTCCCGGCGTTCCTATAGACATGCCACGACATGTTCGTAGAACCCAACAATGTTCTTAGAACATAAGCCCGAAATGTGTTAAAGCAAAGCAGTCTCAGCCGGACATGTTCTAAGAACATTTCGTGCAGACCACAGAAGGTTCTTAGAACATTCTTTGGTGGGCCTATAGGCGAGCCAGGACGCTTCGCCACTGCTTGATGGCTCCGAGGCCTGGTCCTGGTGGCACAGCGAGCTCCGGTCGCCCTCGGCGGTCTGCTTGGCAGGGCGCGAGCAAGACGTCGGTCTTGTTTTGAGAGCACCGCTCGAACTTCGAACGAGCGAAATGAAAACAAAAGGGAAGACTCTGTTCCGCTCCAAGCCCGTCGCCCGCAAAAGCGATGGCAAAACAGCCGCGCGCTGAAGCCCGAAAACGAAACGGGGACACGAAAACGGCATGCATAACAAGAAGGCGTTTTGCTCGCGCCCTGCTGCTGGGTGCCCCCCCCCGTGCAGGGTGCTCAGCGAGCGCCACAAAGCGAATGCCGCGGCAGGTCCTCCGGCATATACGCGCAGGGTCGCTAGTGCAGGGCGCCTTCGGGAGAGCGCCCCTCGGCAACGCTCCCGCTTATCCACACGCGAGTCTGGATTTGAAATCGGGCCTGCCCTAAGGCAGACACGCATACACAACGTGTGGGAAAGGCATGGTGATGTACCACGCTTCAATCCGAAAAAACAAAGCATGGAGAAGGCAAAGAGCAGGACAGGCGCGGAATCCCACCGGCCCTTTAGCGCGTAGGTGATTTAGGACGTTTCCTCTTCCAACCTCCCTTCGTGGAGGGTTGTTGTTCCCCCTCCCCCTGCCCCCATCCTCCTGGGTCTGGACTCGGGTGGCGGCGACAGATTGGAGCGTCCAAGATGGCCCAAGATGGCTCCAAGAGGGCCCCAGATAGCTCAAGATGGCTCAAGATAGCGCGAGGTCGCTCAAGATTGCTTCCAGTGTACTCCAAGAGGTCCCAAGACCGCTCCAAGACGGGTCCAAGTGGCCTTGGGGGCTACCCAGGACGCCCCAAAGAGGCCGACATCCGTCCCACGCCTATGGGAATTCATAGGTTGTGCAATCTCGCCTTTTCGTTTCCGATGGCGTTCCGAGGCCTTAAGATGGCTCCACGAAGGCCCAAGAGAGCCCAAGGAGGAGCCCAAGAGGGCTCCAAGACGGCCCCATGACCGCCCAAGAGCGCCCAAGAGCGTCGCAGGACAGCCCCACAAGGCGTCTTCAGGAGCTCTCGGAGGGGCGCTAACTAAGGAACCCCTTCTTTGATCGATGCTCTCCCATATGGTCGAAAGAAAGCCTCCAGGCTCCCAAGAGGGTCCCAAGAAAGCCCCAAGAGGCCCCTAAGAGGCCCCCCAAAAGCCCCCAAGAGGCCCCCCAGACGCCCCAAGAGGCCCTCAAGAGCCCCCAAGAGGCCCCAAGTACTCTCTAAAAGGCCACCAGGAAACTCCCGAGAGACATCCCACGCGATCCAGGAGGCCTCGAGTTCACTGAGGCGCCTCGAAGTACCCAAATCATGCCAAATCCCCGCGGCGAAAAGGGCAGCTCCCCTAGGCATCGCTCCTGGATGGGAAGGTGGGGAT